GAACAGGCTAAAGAATGGATTCCTGGACTGGATATTGAAAGATGTTTCTTCCACTTCAACAAGTGGGTGAATAATGCTATCAAAAACACCGGGGGAATCTACTTCGAAGATGTCATACTCCAAAGTCTGGCGGCTCGTATATTTGTTTTCAAACGGCTGCACTGCCAGTATCCAAACTCACCGAACCTAGTTGCATTCCCGGAGGTGTATGATTGTCTTCCCGGATCGGATAGCCAACAGATTACTAGCAGTTGGATGATATACACAAACGACGTAAGCTTCTGTGCTGATAAGGATATTCCGGCACCACGTGTACCACCTGTCAGCGCAACAGCGTCAGGCAAAGTTTATCATACTAAACCTCTGCCAAATGCTCGCTTTGATGGTGCGCTCGAGTCTCCAATCCCAACCTATATCCAGGCCAAGTATAGCACGAAAATTATTTGGACTGATGTTGCCATGCAGATCAAAAACTTGCCAGCAAATGGGCGCCTGCTTTGGATCATGCCAACAATCAATGAAGATTACATACTGGATTTTTCCCAACTGAGCAAGAATAAGGAAGTTATTGAAGGGGCATATGCAACAGGGCGACTTGCATTTGTATCTGGTTCTGGAGCATTAAGTCCATACACATTCAGTGCAATGAAGTTACTCAAATATTTTGATGTGCCAAAGTGACACATTTATGCTGTTTGCGTGGTTGTCAGTGTACTTGTTTTTATTTATTTATTTGGGAAAAAAAAAAAGAAAAGAAAAGAAGAAGGAGAGAGAGAGAGAGAGAGATAGTATGTTGCAATTAGCTTGTGTATAATTTTCTTGTTACAAATAAAATGGAACTGAAAACAATTTTGTGCTTGTGTCAGAAGCCACTCTGTTATTGACCAAGCTCTCGCTGACTCGAGGGAGTATTGGTGGCAAAACGAGAGAGCTACATTACAAGCTGAGAAAATCGGGCTGCAAGCGGAGAAAGTTGAGCTGCTGAGAAAAGAAAATCGGTTGGATGAGGCAGTTAAAACCTCTGCTTCAAGTGCTTTTATTGCACCTGGTATTTATCAAATTCCGAATTAGCCAATCACACATTAATTTTTATTCTCTCAGTCGAGTACAATCCGGCAACATACTCGGTGATCGATCGCCTCCAGAAAAACGGTCTACATCTCTCGCTCATTGAACGAGCCCAGCAATTGCAGCTTATTCGTGAATGCTTTGGGACCAGTCAGAAGATAAATGTTGCGGTACTTTGCGCCTCTCGGGGAATGGGTAAAACGGCTCTCCTGCGTGCTCTGGCTGATCCCGAGAGATACGAATCTCGAAAAATTCCGAAAATCGCTCGTGCTCATAAAGTTGGCAGAGTTATACCGGTTGATCTAAGTCAGATGCTGAAGATCGATCAGCCTGGGGAAATCGAGAAATACATTCGCGATTCCACGTTACTTTGGGTGGAGATAATCCAGAGACACCTCCTCCTCCTTTTTCACGGGTGTACTGTCGATGGGATTCTATTTAAAGAATCTTCGAAAACGTTCATCAAGTGGTGTGCAGAATTCCGCAAACTTGATCTCCTGGCTAAGGAATGGTCACGATTAACTAAAATCGCATTCCCGGAGGCGGACGACGACTGCAAGGCTGCAGGTCCAGTGTTTCTCCTGGATGAGATTGCCGTCTTCCTGCATGAGACCGGCGCGCTTTCAACGAATTTAAAAGACGGAGCCAGACTCGAGCATACACTACTATCAGAGGCACTTGGTAGAATTTCTGCTGTTCCTGGAGCGGCGGTGATCGTAGCTGGGACGAAGGACGGACGCTTAGGACTACTTTCGCAGTATTCTCAGTTTATTGCGACGGACGTTCCTCTCACCTGCTTCAGCGATGCCGGGTGCCGAGAATACTGTACTGCATACATTTTAAAATACAATCTAACGAAGAAGCCAGCTCATGCTATCCCGGCCCCGGACTTCGAGGATGCGACTGGGATTCTTCCCCTGATGCTACTGCTCTCGTACAACATTCCACGATTTCTTGCGATCTCAATGGAGTTGTACTGTGACGAAATGTCCAAGGAATCAAACTACAAGTTTTCGTATGAATTCCACGCTGTGGTGTTAAGGGCGATTCGAAGACACTACCAAGATGCTTCGCTCGCTCTTGCTCATCTGGGAACCGACAGCCTGACTCTCCTTACACTTGCATGTGCCAGCGGATATCCCCTGAACGATGTGGACATAAACATCGGGAACATTCCTGTCCGCGACCTTGTGGATCGCTGTATTATTTTTCGAGGGATTGCCAACAAGTACGTCCTACCAGTGCCAATGCTGTTCGATCCCAACTCTCACTACCAAAATGAGGTCTCCGAACGAGCTAAAGAATGGATTCCTGGACTGGATATTGAAAGATGTTTCTTCCACTTCAACAAGTGGATGAATAATGCTGCCAAAAACACGGGGGGAGTCTACTTCGAAGATGTCATACTCCAAAGCCTGGCGGCTCGTATATTCGTTTTCAAACAGCTGCACTGCAAGTATCCAAACTCACCAAACCTAGTTGCATTCCCGGAGGTGTATGATTGTCTTCCCGGATCAGATAGCCAACAGATTACTAGCAGTTGGATGATATACACAAACGACATAAGCTTCTGTGCTGATAAGGATATTCCGGCACCACATGTACCACCTGTCAGTGCAACAGCGTCAGGCAAAGTTTATCATACTAAACCTCTGCCAAATGCTCGCTTTGATGGTGCGCTCGAGTCTCCAATCCCAACCTATATCCAGGCCAAGTATAGCACGAAAATTATTTGGACTGATGTTGCCATGCAGATCAAAAACTTGCCAGCAAATGGGCGCCTGCTTTGGATCATGCCAACAATCAATGAAGATTACATACTGGATTTTTCCCAACTGAGCAAGAATAAGGAAGTTGTTGAAGGGGCATATGCAACAGGGCGACTTGCATTTGTATCTGGTTCTGGAGCATTAAGTCCATACACATTCAGTGCAATGAAGTTACTCAAATATTTTGATGTGCCAAAGTGACACATTTATGCTGTTTGCGTGGTTGTCAGTGTACTTGTTTTTATTTATTTATTTGGGAAAAAAAAAAAGAAAAGAAAAGAAGAAGGAGAGAGAGAGAGAGAGAGATAGTGTGTTGCAATTAGCTTGTGTATAATTTTCTTGTTACAAATAAAATGGAACTGAAAACAATTTTGTGCTTGTGTCAGAAGCCACTCTGTTGCATCTGTATGATAAGATTCACATTGCCAAGCAACGCAAAAAAAGTTGTGAGTTTGAGGAAACATTTTTGTTAATATATTTGTTTCAAAATGATATTTTTGATTACAAAAGTTTGAATTATAAAACTTGCCATTGTATAAGAAAACCACTATAGTACCCCTTATTATTACTTTATTATTCATTCACAGGTTTATTTACCAAACAATTGAAGTGCCAAGATTGATTGTGTCTATGCATGCTGTCTAATCCTGCCAATGACCTTCCTGCACTCAAGAATCAAGTTGCAAATAATGCAGTATTTCAAAAAACTCCCAAAAATCAAGAAATTTCATATTGCCAAACAAAAATTGGATTGCAGACAATGCTTTGTTATTCTGGGATTTCAAAGTTGGTATTTCACTCTGTGGCTAGCATGATTCTATTTTTGGAACCAATTAACATTATTTAAGGGTAAATATCAAGTTATTTTGCTGTTGTTCACAATGTTCTCTGAAGCTGTTCAAGGAACAGGTAACATGGTGACCATATTGGGAAAGACAGTTTTGTAACCAATATTGTAAGCATTATTACTTTCAAATTTACACACAAAATAATGTATAGTTGTTCTGTACAGCATAGATTCAACCTCTTAGAGAGCATTTGCAAACACTCAAAAAACTGAAACTCTTAAAGAAATTCAGGCAACAAATGAAGCAATGGGGTGACTTTTAATCTAACATCATATAATGCTATCAAAGAACTACACCAATTAAGTTTCAGGCTTTGGGGACAATTTTTATGTAATCTACTAAATAGCAACAAAAGGCAAGCCTACATAACTTTAGGTTTGTCTTTGATAATGAGATGTATGTTACAGTGGTGAAACAGCTTTGTAAATTGAATCAAAAAATATCTAGCATAGTGAGCAAAGGTAAAAGTATTTGCTGTTTTAAGCCATGAAATCAAAGTTACTAATTCAAATTCAGCTCCTATATCATCTAGGATGCTGGAGTAACAGAGACAAGAAATAATTGCTAGATCTGAAAAACATTGGATTTGAATCTTGAATACATATAGAAAGTCGTTGAATTTCTGTTATAGCCCAGTGTCAGGATGGTGATTCTTATTGTGTAATATCCACTAATAATTGGCAGATGCAAAAAACAAAGCAACTATATATTTTTGACACTTGAAAATAATGAAAAGCAAAAAATAGCAGTAGAGCACCAAAATTTATAAGAGAAACAATACTATAAGTATAAAAAGTCAGAATATCCTGAGAGTGATAAGGTAAAATAGTATATATATTTTGAAATTGCTTTTGTTGTATTTTCTACTAGTTGTCTCTTGTCTATTCCTTATCCCTTTTTATTAAATTTATCAACATCAAACATTTTCAAGTTTTGAATTTGGACAAGAAGAATAAATGAGATAATATATATAATTGCAGAATTTTATTTATAGTCAAAACAATAGCAAACACTTTATATTCTACTGAAACAGAAACTGATACTTACAGACCATGATATTTTAGTCAAATACATAAAGAACAGAATAATAACTACTCTGATACCTTAAATTTTGCAGGCTCCAAAAGAGACTATAAAAAGTGCTTCTCTACATTTATTTATTTATATAAATTTTGATTAGGAAAACATGTTGTCACCAGGTATAGTGAGTCTACAATGTAGTTTCAAATGCTGAATTTGAGTGAAATTGACAGTGCAAAATTTTTTGACACTAAGTTGAGCCCACCACCGAAAAAACAAAAGTAAAACGTAAAAGGGGCTCAACCGGGAATTGAACCCGGGACCTCCTGTACCCGAAACAGGAATCATACTACTAGACCACTGAGCCTGGAGGAAATGGCGCCAAAAATAGCACACAACGGTATCCAAAAACGGGGAGTGTCTCCTCA